GGCCACATGTACTTGGCACGAATGCTTTCTACGTGTGCATTCACACGAAAAACAGGCGAAAACGTTTCAGAGGGCGTGGAGAGTTACTAAAAAATGCTTAAATGTTACTTTTGCACACGAAAGTACCACAAAATGGCACTTGATCTCTTGCCAAGCGCAATTTCCAGATTTAAATGATAGTGTTCGTTAGTCAACACCGGAGATGTGGCGTTGTGCCCGTGCATTTCAAATGCAACCTTGCAGGTAGCTTCCTTCATGTTATGTCATCAACACAGCATGCCACGTCGGTTGGCACGGGCAGTTTAGTTAGCTGGAATACCTATCAATCTTAACTGTAGTGCAGTCTTACAGCAACGCCATTTGCTATGGCAAACGTTGATTTTTTATTGTTACAAAGACAATCAGTGACATTTTTTTCTGTGCTGGAAGTGCAGGAAGTAAAGCTATTTTCCACAATCTTCATAAAATCGTTTAAATTTACAGATTTCTTAAATTTATGAGATTTTATTTAAATTATTGCAGGCAAAACTTTTAACTTCGAAATGCTTGTGGATTAAAATTTTAAAATTTTATTCATTTATTCTACACAACATTTAAAATTCAATTTGGTTTTGTGATTTATATGAATTATCTTTCCAGATTGTGTAAATTAACTCAGTATGAGAATAATTCCTATGGGAGTCATATTTCAAACTGCAAAGTAGCAGGAAATATTCCTACATTGATTTGTCTTTTCAATTTATGTGTTTAAGAAATATTACACATTTCACGCGTATCATCAATTTTAGTTTAAGTTAACCTTCCAATAAAGAACGTCGTACGGCTTCCAAATCGATTCAATAAAATAACACAAAAGTGATTTTAGCCTTTTCTGATGTAGTATTTTTCTAGTTATTTCCTTTGCTTTTGCATACTTCCGCATAACAATGACAAATGTTTGACATAAAGAACTACACTTGAAAGAAGTAACATTAGGTACATCCAATCCAATCCAATCAATTTTAGTAATACTACGATATATTAGTTACTTTTTATAAATAAGCATATTGCTCATATTATTTTAAGACAATGACACATTCATTCGTATTATCAGAAACATAGATTTTATAGATGTTATGGTTCTATATGAAGACTACACGGACTAGTTAAATTACTTTAAACTTATTATAAAGAAATATATATAAAGAAAACTATATATATAAATATATGTAAACTATAAACTATAAACTATATTTAATTTAATGGTATGTCAAGTATTATGAAGACCACATGGATTAATGAACCTTTTCTAAATTTGAAGCTGCAACTTATTAAAGATAAGGATCATACAGAAAATTAAGAAGACTGCAAGTACTTGTCAACATATTCTAAGTTTAATGGTGCATATTATTAAAAACAAGTATCATGTAAGTATCAGATGTAAGAAGACCACACGTACGAGTCAATCTATTCTAAATTTAAAGGAGTGTTTTATCAAAGACTTGTGTCTAATGGAGACGTACGACAAATTCGAGACAATTTTATTTATTTTAAACGTAATAGTGTGGGAAATGTACAGCTGTAACTAATTAAAAACTTACCACTAAACAATGCCGTATAATGTGACTCATTTCTCGAGGTTGCTGTTTTGAAAAGCAATTGAATGATCATTTGAATGGACATAATTAAAGGAAATTTTTTATACCGATTGAAAGGAAAATGGTCTGAAATAGTTAAGGAAAGTATTGAAAATTAAAAACCGCCTTTGTATCCGCCACTGTCTTTAACTTCTAGAAGAAAGACTTTTTGCTTTGACTGTTTTCGTAAACTATACATAATTTAAATAGTGATATTAGATTCTAATTTTAGTGGAGCGTCTTATTAAAGAGAAGGGAATGTACAGCTGTAACTTATTAAAAACATACCATCAATCAGTGATGTATACAGTAGCTTTTTTTCGGAGTCGATGTTTTAAAAACTAATTAAAGGTTCATCAGAATGGATATATGTTACTTAAAGAAAATCATTAATTCTTCAATTGGAGAAAAAATGGTCTGAAATAGTTAAGAAAAGTATTGAACCTCTGTTGCATCTTTCAACTTCTAGAAGAAAAGGTTTTTGCTTTGAGTCTTTTTGTAAACTACATAAAATATATACAATGACATTTATTTTTATTTACAAATTATTAGAAAAATTTTTTAATTATTGTCATATATTTAGACTTAAAAATATTTTATTAAGCCGCAATATGAGTCGGTGTCAACTTAAACATTGTACACTGCTACATCGAAGTGGAGTTGACTTCAATGTTCCCAATACGTTGCCTTGCTAATGCGAAACATATTTTGCCAAAAAAAGAAAAATGAAAAAATTGCCAATGCTCTCCGATGCAGTGCTCCAAGCGTAAATTTGTGCCTTTTCGATTTGTGGTTTGAAGGCATTTGTGCTGATAACGTTTCAGTTAGTTGGGCTGTGACTAAATCTCGCATTGTGCCACTTCGCTGCCTGACATAGTAAATATTCCAACAAAGTTGCATACATCAATTTGATCGATTATGCTGAAGATACATATTTTTATGTATGATTTTAGTGCGTTTTTCTTATTGTTTTGCCAGCTAGATACTCTCTTATTAGTGTCCTTGTTGGCTGCTGGTTGCTGTTGATACTGTTTATTTTGTTATTGGTCGTAAAATAGTAAATATTCTTAGTTGTCACGTTTGGGGAATTTCATTATTTTCCAATATAAATGATGTCAGCTACAATTTCAGGCACTTTTCACAAGCAGTAAAATTGGTACAAGCCAAATTGCACGACTGACCATGATGAATAATGTTTTCGATGAACTTGAATATGAGTTATGAGCGCTGCTGTGTGGTTCCTTTGGTGGTAAACTTTCTTAATCAAAGATTTTAAATTAGATTCAATATGATTTTTTTTACTTTGTTGCTTTATAAATAAATTTTACAACTTAGCTGTACACCTTTTTTGCAGGAACTTGCTAACTTTTGTCATGTTATGTTTAAAAAGAATTTTAAAATATCAAATTTGTAGTTTATGTATAAACTGGTGCTTCAGTTCAGCTACTAATCAACGGTGGTAACGGATATTGACGCATCATTTATACACATCCGTTATAGTATGCCATACTTTAAGTCCGGAAGTTATGCTGTACAATTCACTTGCATTCAAGCATTTAAAACGGAAGTCGAGTTAGTTTCTATTTCTATCCCAACAAAACCAACAAGAAATAGTAGTGCAAGAGAAGAGAAGAGAATGAAGAAAAAAACTGAAATTTTGGTTAAAAAATGTAAATGTGCTATCCACACTGCACAAATGCACCCATTGCACACAACAACAGTAATCAGTCATGAATGCATTTTTACGTACTCATCCAAACACAAAACGACATTGATGACTGAAATGAGTACAACTTTCAACAAAATTTCCAATCGAATTTAGTCACCGTAAAACCAGAAATTCGATTCATCTAATAGGAAACTTGTGGAGCAGCTTGTCAGCAATAGTAGTAGTAGCTGTGCAGATGCAATATCACTACAAAAATTGTGGCAGTATCAGCAGTAGTAGCAGCAGTAGCAGCATCAGTAGCAGCAAGTAGCAACCATAAAATTTGTAGTTCGGTTTGTTGTTGAGGAGTTGTTAAAAATGTGCTGCTGCACGTTTTGCATATGTGTTTGTCAGCTTTTGCATTTGTGTTGTAAGCAGATAAGTAAATTCGATTATGTACCTCAGTTATCTAAAGTTGACAACTCTTCTAAAGTTACTAATGCATAAAGTTTTTCTTTCGGTCATGTAAGTACTTCATCCTTCAATTCGAGGAGTCGTAATTTGCTTAGAAATTGTGCCATGTACTAATATGCACTCCACCGTTCATTCAAACGGCCACAAACAAAAAAATTCGTCCTTTTTTAATTGATATTTTTGTGGATTCATTGCAACCAATTGCTCTCGTATGTCTTCTGCTAAAAAAGTTAGAATTGTTAGAGTACCTCTAATCTTTGTAAACTTTTCAATTGGTAAAGAGTGGAGCAGTTGAACAAAAACATTGATACAGAAAAGAAAAATTCACATGACGCCATCGATTATTACCATAGAGGATAAAGTGGTATTTCAAAGAGAATAGGGACTTCACTTTAGGCAGACAAATATATTTATATAACGATTATTATTACAGAAAGCATACGCTATCACTTGTAGGATGTATTGTAGAAATTGATGTGTAGCGGCAAATATATATTACAAGGTGGCAACACCGTAGCAGCAACATAGGGAATTATTTTGGTTTGAAGTACTTCAGTCAGACAGTTAGTGCTAAGATGTCAAACACTGAAGTTGTAAGCACATGTCTAATGCACTTAGTATCCGATTTATGAACTTTCATTGTTATTATCATTATCATTGTTTAAAGGAATGATTATTATCATTTATACAATTGTAATTAATTATTTTATTATTGTCAAATAAAGTTCTTATATAAATAATATAAAGTAATTATTATTATAGAAGCAAATAATTCATACAAAATAATTATTATTAAAAAATATCTAGTAATAAACCACCATTAGTGAGATGTACAACAAGTGAACATCTAGTTCGAATTTATTTTACGAAATTATTATTATTAAAACAGACAATTGCCTACCGCGACATACCATTAATAAGTAATATTCACTTACAAAATTTCAAATATACCGATTGATCTGGTACTCATACAATAACATATATTATTATATAATAAATAGACAATGACAAATCATTAACAGGAGAAATTCCACACTTTTTAACAGTCATCATATTAGTTTTGGAAACTTTGACAAAAAGTTGGAAGATGGAAGGATAGAAGAAACAAACATATATTTTCTGTTTTGGATACCAAACTATATGGATTTTAAAGTGGGAAGCT